ACACGTGTCTTTAGAAGTGCTTTCTGTAAGTCATTTCATCCAATCAACAGGCCTCTGAGAAAAATGTCCCCACTTTGAACATTGGAACCTGGAGCATTGCAAAACTAGGTAGCATTAGAACTAAGACAGGAACCTAAGTCTATACCCCGAGCTCCTGACCACCTCTAACTGCCCCTCATACTATGCTGACTCCTCCGGGATCCATTTGCCTCAGTGCTGATGAGAATCGTGGCCCATGAATGATTCTAACCCATCGGGGAGCTAAGCCTTTGCCTGCTGAGTAGTAGCGATGTTCTGACCGAAGTGGCTAAACAGCCCCCACAATAACATCTGGTACTTCACAGCACAAAAGGTCCTTCTGTAACCAAATATTCTACAGGGATGCTAACAAGAGCAATCCTTTGGTCCCCTGCCCTAGAAGCATACAAGCTTTCCCATTGGCAGGTTGCTGAGGGAGACAAGGGCTACGAGGTCATGCCATTTCTCTCTTACTTGTTCATTTGTCCATTTGTCAGTTCTGGGTGCTGAAGAGGTCGATGCTGATGGTTGGGTCATGGCAACTGTACAACTAGCACTGCCCCGGCCTGTCAGCAGAGATCTTGGGACCTGCTGGTCAATGCAGCACATGGAGTCAGAGGCACTTCATGCACAGATTTCACGGCGAGCTTTCTGGACCATCTCTCCAATGGAATCCAGTGACAATTTCAAAGGCAAGCTCAGAGCCAGGCTCAGTCTACTGTAGATTGAGGAAACTTGAGATGGACAAATGGACAAGTTGGTTGTGTGTGTGTGTGTGTGTGTGTGTGTGTGTGTGTGTGTGTGTTTGCTGTTGTTCTCTACTTTGCTCATTGAGATCATGAGCAATCCCAAAAGGTATCTGAGAGGGTGAATCACTGTGAGGAGTAACTGGCTGATGCCCTTCTCTGGAGAGTACAGGGGCTAGGAAGCTTCCGGACAACCTCTCTGGGGCTGAGCTGGGGTCTGCCACGAGGTGCTTCCTGTCTGCTGTCTATCCAGGAGGCAGAGAGGAAACTAGCAAACACAGCATCCAGGATGCTGCCAAACAGCATGAGAGAAAATACAGAGAGAGAAAGAGAGCAAAGCTGGATAAAATGTCAGTGAGGTTGGGTGGATGGGATCTGTGAGAGAGGAAATGAGCAGAGAAAACATCCATTACAAATTCACAACCACCGTCCAGGCACTTGCTGAGGCTTTATTTGGGGGCCCCAAGAGCATGCATTCGGGATGAAGGGACCACGTAAAAGAGTTGGCAGGAAAACAATACCATAAGCGACATAGAGGGCCCAGGTGGATGCTGCTGTTGCTCTCTACTGGGTAACTCCACACATACATTCTCCTCTTCCTCCTGTTTCAGCAAGTCCTGGTTTTGTTCAGGTGACAGTGTGCCTGTCCCTGGAAGTAACATATGGCTGCTGTAGCCAATCACTGAGATCCCCGGGCTGTGGGAATGATTAACATGGGTTTTGGCCAATGAAATCTAGGAAAACATTTGCAGGGAAGGTTTCTGGAAATGATTTTTCTCCAACAATACACAAGAACTATGAGGAAAACCTCCTCTGCCACATCCCTCCTGCTGAGGGTGTTGTCATGTGAGCAAATGAAGCTCCTTTGTCTTGGAAGAAGGAAAGAGGAAAGAAAGGCCAGGAGAAGCACAAAGATTCCAAACCACAGCCTGGCTACCTAGACTTCCCAGAATCAAGTTGGCACTGGGAGGTGATGAAATGCTTTTATCTCTTATATAACACTTAGCTTTTTTTTTTATATATAATTTGCAGATTATATCATTCTAACTGAAACACACACACACACACACACACACACACAGACGCCATGGTAAATTTTTCAAGAGTGTTTCTCAGAGTATACTCTGGATCCAAAAATGTTCTGTGATCAGATGAGTTTGCAGGAAATTGTGCATTACAGCCATCTCTTTCCATTTCACTTTTGCACAGTAAAGGCCCTGAGAAGTCCTGCAGTTAAAACAATAACAACAACACAGTTTGATTGTCTTTAACTTTGCATTTCCAGAAAAGTTATTAATCAGAGAACCCGGTATTAAACTTTATAATAGAAGAAATGTCCATTTTGAAAAAAAAATTTAATTTTGAATTTGTAAAAAAATCAGACCAAGTAAAGGAGAAAAAGAAGGAAGAGCAGTAGGAGCAGGTCTTGGCTAGGCCAATCCCCAAGCAGCTGCTTCCTCCTGCATGCTTTTCTGTTCCCAGGAAGCCAAGAAAAAGGGGTGCCTTTTACAAATACCCACTTACATTCTGACAACCTGAGATAATGTACTAAGGGGGGAATATAAGCTTGGCAACATGACCATCATCTAATCATATTGTAGACAAATCAGGAGATGTGGTTTGATTGCTGTATTTAAAACATGTTTAAAAAAGGGCAGCTGGCAGACCTCCTACAGTGATGTGGACAACTAAACAGATATTCACTTTTCTCTCTGTGTCTCTCTTTTTAAGAAAAATATAATGACATTAAGGAAAATGCATTTTATTGAGGTGGCCATGCATTAGCATCTCAGATCAGAAACAAATTTCTTTCAATCTGCACCCTCCAAAAAAAAATGTTTCCTTAAAAAATATCACCTTGATCAAGAAATTTTTTTTTCTCGGCTAGAAGAGGAGATGAGTACACACAGAAGCCAGGAAGAAAAGGAGGGAGAGAAGAAAGGCAGGAGATCACTCAGAGAGAGAGAGGAGACAGGGAAGGATGGAGCAGAGAACATGTCCATAGCCCCACTGCTGTGGCTCAGGGGTTGAGTGTGGACCTATAAACCAGGAGGTCACAGTTCGATTCCCAGCCAGGCACATGGCAGGGTTTCGGGCTGGTTCTGCAATTGGTGGTATGCAGGAGGTAGCCAATCAGTGATTCTCTCTCATTATTGATGTTTCCCTCTTCCTTCCTCTCTGAAAGCAAATTATATATATATATATATATATATATATATATATATATATATATATATATATAATTTATTTATTTTAATAAATTGTCCACAGATGAGGCACAGGTGTCAAGGGAGAGACAGTGCATTAGGACACTGCTGTCTCCAGGAAGAGATTAGAGATGAGGATCGAATGAAAGGAAAGGGAAACCCTCACTACACCCCTGAGGTATCAGTTAAATGTGAACCACATATATCTGAATTCCTTTTATTTAAGTATGTTATCAATTCATTCAAAACATAAATTACTTTAAGACATTTTTTTTTTTTTAAAAAGCAAAAAGCCTGCCACAGCAACACAGACAGAACACCAGTTCTTGCTCTTAGAGATGGGCTCCTATGGGGCAATCAGAGCCACCCTTTGCACTGAACTATATGACCTGGTATATGGAATGACCATTTGAATTTCTTTCATGTCATGGGAAGGGCTCCATTGTCGCTCCTCAACCACACCCCTGTTGACACTGTCCTCATCGGTGTGAAATAATAAGCCCCTCAAACAGCACAAGCACTTCCCTGCCTCCCTGTCCGAAATGTGGCAGCCGAGTCAGTCTCATTTGTAATAGAGATTTTGAAATGATCTTAACGTCGACGAAATGTAGCAGGGACTCCTGGAGACAAAGCACACATTCCTCTTGACCTAGTTCTGGCCACCGCCCCCATTCAAACAGGAAGAGAAAGCCGAAGTGGCCATACATTATTTACTTGGATGAACCAGTGATTCAGGGGAAAAGCAGCAAGAGATCGGGAAAGCTTAACCCATCATGGAGGCTGCTTCATGAAGGAGTCACAGTGGAGGCAGGCACAGGTGCACAGGAGCAACGTGGCAAGACATGAGAGGTGACTATAGAGGCCCATGAAGGGAGACCAGGTAAAACACACATGCATCCAAGAAAAAAAAATCATCATTACTCGGCTCCATGTAACTGATTCTTCTGTTTGTGATGTTTGTGAAATGGAAGGATCTCACAAACCTGACACCAATAGCAACCGTGGGATGAAATAACGCTACTAGGAGTCATTGTCATCTCAAGACTGGAACTGAGTGAGCGCTCTGGAGAGTTACAGTGATGTTAGGGTTATTGAGCGCGTTTTCCTCATCTGTTAGATCCCATTGAACACATTGGTTCCCCCGACCCCAAACAACACTGCTGTCATTTTAGGATAGCAGATCCCCTCGTTTTTATAATAATGTGGAACCGGGACCACGAAGGCACAATGTACGGTAAAAACTGCCAACATCCCTCAGTGACATTACAGCTAGGCTAATTATGACTTGAGCTCATCCATCCAAAACATGAATGCATTTAAAAACACACACAAATGGGGATGCCCCATCCTGAAATTTCTTGATATACCACACCCGTGCCGAGAAGAACATCAAGGCAACATCATGGAAAAAGAACAATGCCCCCAATTCCAGCTAGAAACAAACCATTCTCTCTTTGCATCTACCAGTAGCTTATCTCAGCGCTGGGTTTCATTTTTAAGAAGGTAGATCACATAGGGCGCTTTAAAGTCTGTCTCTTTCTCCTCTATGCACAAATGCCACAAAACAAAAAGGCCTACGGGGGACTTGCCTTCCCCTAGACCACGCCCTTGACAGCTGAGGGGCTCACCCACCCCCGGTCACAGCGAGAGGGCATTTCAGCCACTCAGCAAATAGCCGGGTAGTCACATTACGAAGGCAGCGAGACATCCTTTTGACCTTTGTTATCACTTAGGCCTCATGTTGTACATAAAATGAGTACAATGATGTCAAACAAATTCGAGAAGAGAAGTATTTATTGCTGAATCTAAATCAAAAAATCCATATCTGCTATAATGGCACTTCAAAAGGAGATATACTGTATTTACCAGCCCAATCAATACCAAATTAGCTGGGATAAATATTTTCAATGCTCCCAGGCTGCAGACCAAGCCCACTATTTAGAACCCCGTGTCCTGGGAGAGACGAGGACATTTTTGCTTATCACACAGAAACGGAAAGCAGGAAGTGTTCGCACGCAGATACACCTACCCTTAGCTGCTCTCTGTCACAATTCATCTGCTGTCTTGAAACCTACAAAGAAAAGGAAAAGAGGGGATGGAAGTCAGAAGGTTCTGCATCAAAACAACATGAAAGGGAAAAAGGAAGTTGCTTCTAATCACTGGGCTTAAAGCAAACCCAGGATTAATTAATTGCCTATTTACATTTTTCATTAGAACTCATTTTTTCCCCCTCCTGTAAGCTTCTCTTGGCATTTCCATTGTGTGATCCAGAAATAATTAGGATGAGTTGGTCTTGGAGGGCATGAGGAAAGAGATTCAATAGAGGGAGTGGTGCTGAAACCGGTTTGGCTCAGTGGATAGAGCGTCGGCCTGCAGACTGAGAGGTCCCAGGTTCGATTCTGATCAAGGGCATGTACATTGGTTGCGGACACATCCCCGGTGGGGGGAGGGGGGTGCAGGAGGCAGCTGGTCGATGTTTCTCTCTCATTGATGTTTCTAGCTCTCTATCCCTTCCCTTCCTCTCTGTGGAAAATCAATTAAATATATTTTATCTATCTATCTATCTATCTATCTATCTATCTATCTATCTATCTATCTATCTAAATAGAGGGAGTGGAAGGGGAAAGCTGCCCGGGGTGAAGGCCCCCTCTTGATATGCCCCGCCCCCTGACCTTGCCCTGTCTATCAGGTTCAGACATCCTTCCCTAAGGCCCATTCCAGATCCTTGGGAATAGTCACTGGTCACCATGCAGTGTCTTCTCTGATGTTAAGATCCAGTAGTGTCATCTACCTGTCTTGGCAATTGGGTTACATTTTAAGGTCTAGTTCTACACTCACGGTCATAAGCCCCCATAGGATTGTGTTAGGGATGATTCTGAGTTCAGTGCTCATACCAGAGAGACCCTGGTCAATCAGTGATATCTTCCCTCCATTCCAAAAGGAGAATTCGGGATATCCACACCAGGCATCGCTTATCCTTCCCTACCAAAGCCTGCTTCTACAAACCTGAAATGCTTCTCTAGGGTGACCGTGGAGTCGATTGTTCCAACAGGAGAGTGTGTGTGAGTTAGAGGAGTGGGTGGGCTGTTGCCTGTGCCAGAGACAGCATATGTGAGTGGGGGTGACAAAGCAAGCGGAGCATATGGTCGCCCTGCCTCTGTGGGGACTGCGGACTCTACCTTCCACTCAGACAGCTAGGCGGAACTCCATCTCAGGTCTGCACGCACAGAGTATTCTGTGTGTTTCTGGTATTTTCTTCACTGAGGAAGCCACCCCAGACTCTGCGCACCTGACAGTATATTGCAAGTGTTTGAAACTTTTACTAACAGATAAGAAGGTCTTGGAACTGACGTTTGATGTATATTTTATGTATTTTGGAAGGAAGGTTTCTTTTTTATTGTTTGTTGCCATCTTTCAAACAAAAGCGAAGACAGGAATCTTTACTTAGGAGTTGCCAGAGCCCCCAGTCCATCAACCAGTGCTCTGCCATGTGCTCTTGAACCCCAAAAGATCACTCCCGGAACAGCTCCCAAGAGCATAAGCAGGGATGCACAACACATGTTTCTCTACATGGCAGTTCCCCGCAGCATGTCATAGGGAAGAAAAGCATTGTGAGTATGACAGTGTGGCAATGGGACCACTGGCCATCGATGACAGATGACAGTGTACTGACTTGATGATATAAGGCATAGCATTGGGAACCATGGTTTTGAAGTAGACTCCAAAGGCGCTACGTATTTAGCTTTTTTTAAAGAAGCGACAAAGTTGCACAGATGTTACAACCCCTGTTTTACTTTACAAAAACTATTCAAACAGATCATGTAAGAGAAGGAAGAAAGAATAAGCAAAAAAGACTGGGAGGAAATAAATCAAAATATTAAAAAAGAAATGAGTACTGTTCTGTAAAAGCACAACACACACACACACACACACACACACACACACACACACACACACGATTATACATTTGAAATAAGTGACTTCATGATAGGCTAATTCAATTTCAATTGCTGCAAACTGTTAGAAAGTGAAGCAGGGCAAATCCCTACAGATAAGTGGCTGCCATGGGATTTGGGGGGAGGCAGGTGGGGAGAACCATGGAGAGACTACTTCCTGGGATGACGGAATAGCTCTCAGTCTAGGTAGAGATGCTTGCACAATATTGTACCCGTCATGGTAGTTTCAACTAGAGAGGATGGTACCTTTCATTCTATGTTTCTTTCCCCACGATAATACAAGCCAAGTGGATGATGAGGTTCTGATTCTGGGTATGATGGAATGAGCACACCTCACCCCGTCTCTCCCACTCAGAGCGACTATACATCCTGGGTGGGTGGCAGGGAGCAGACACCTGAGGTCTGTGAAGAGCTCACAGAGCAGGTGGACTGAAGAAGAATATCGAGATTCCAAGTCCCACCAGACAAGACCCAAACCACCCCTCCCCTCCCAGGACCTCCTGGCATCCACATACAGAGCCACTCACCAGGCCGTGAGGGAGGAGAGCCTCCTCTGTGGACCAGGAGGTGGGCAAACTCCCTTGGATCTCTCTCTCTCTGCACTGCACACCTGGCCCAAATGCAGGCCCAGGGGCAGAAGCACATGAGCACAGACCAGGAGCACTGAGCTGCTGGGAGCACTGCTGAGGCCTAGACTCACTGAGCACAATAACTTTTAAAGAAATAAGTAAACTTGCCACCTAAACCATGTGAAGTGAAGCCATCTTATAATGTTCCTATTATAAAGTCTATCAAGTGCAAAATTCAACAGTAGCAATGGAAATAGCTATGTTGTCCTACAAATAAAGCTGATTAGCAAAAATGAGATTTGAAGATAATAAAAAAGGCCATGTGAGCAATCTCTATTGTGGACATTTGTTGGTTTGGTTTGTTTGGTTGTTTGGAGTTTTTTATGAGTTTTTGTGTCTTTTATTTTTATTGTATGTATTGGGGTGACATTGGTTCATAAAATTATAAGGTGTTTCAGGTGCACAATTCTATAATACATCATGTGTATAGTGCATTGTGTGTTCTCTGTAGGTTGAGAGAAGTACTATGTGTATTGTAGTCCTAAGCAGAATCCCAAATGGTTTGGCCTATATTCTCCCAATAATATCTCGCTTCTCCTTAGGGTCATGACCCTGCCCAATGCTATACATTCTTTGTGAGTTGGATATCATCGCTACCACGCTCCACTTGCTGCTTCATAGCACCTACACCTGCCGTTACCTCAGTAACTCACCCGTCTCAGTAAGGTGACCAGTGACCTCTTTTTCTTCAAGGAGTGACCCCGTGTGAGCAGCCAGTTATGCAAGATGGCAAGTCTCATCATGAGTCTGTCTTTGTGTTTCACACAGCAGTCCCTAGAAGATGCACTAATGCTCTGGAGGCTCACCAAGTGATTGCTAGACCTACTGAGACTCCTGAAAACCTTTCTCTGGAACCACCATGGAAGAGGGTCAGAGAGAAAGACACCTGCTGCTCCATATCCTTTGCTGTGAAGGAAGACCTTCCCTGCACACACTTTAAAAACAGCCCTGAAACATGGCGTACATGTACACTTTACTAAATGTCATTTCATTTGGAACGAACATGAGATATATCTATTTTCTCTCCCATGGCAGTTATACACAAGCCCATGTTTTTATAGCCTAAATGAAAAAAAGGGGAAGTGGGAGGTCTGATGCTGCTCCTTTAAGATGCTTCCAGAGAATCAAATACCACTCTCCATAGGGCTGCCAAGTAAGCACTTATGAAAGGTTAGGAACTGAAGCAATAAACTTCAGCGGGACACCCTTTGCCTTTCTGGCTAAACGGGATGTTTAATAGCGGGAATTCATCTTCCCTCACCTCCTATCTGCATGTAGCCAACAGAGCATCGGCCCCTGACTTTGAGCTCTCTCTTATCAGTCCTTCCCTATGACCAGTCTGATTCCCCCTCCCACACATCAGACTAGATCTGCAATGGAAAGGACTGAGCCTTATTTGGCTTTTTTCCTATAGATTAGGACCATGTTTGGGAACCATTTATTGGTCAATCCATTAATTCTTTCATATATTTAACAACAAATATATACGTGTGTGTGTGTGTGTGTGTGTGTGTGTGTATGATACACCTTCTGAAAGCCAGATACTGTTCTATGCATTGGGAATATAATAGTCAAGAGGTCTTCTGGAGCTCATTGTCTAATTAGGGAAAACGATGAGTGAATTAATGGTTACAATACAATGAACATTTGCTACAATGAAAATTTAAGCTGTGCTCATGGCACATGGAGGGATAGCAACCTTGCGTCTGAGAGCTTAAAAAACGTATTAATGTTTTATGTGTGTTTTATCTTTTGGAAAGTGTATCTAGAGGAAAACCTGTGGGGGGAAACTTTCAAGGAGAGAGGGGAATGTGAGAGTACCATTGAAGATTTTGGAAGTGCCAACTAATTCAATACGGTGGGAGCATCACATAAGAGAAAAAGTTGATTAGAGATTAATTTGAATGGTCAAAGTAGGAGTTGAAGGAAGTATAAAGGCACGGGATACATGAATGGGTAAATGTGCATCTTTTCTGGTCTGTAATCATATAACATTGGAAATTCCAGTTTTCAGAACAGTTGTGAATCATTCAGAAGAAAACCAACAAAGCAGTCTAGCAGCACAAAACTCAAAAAATCAAACCAGTGGGCACGTGTGTACATTTCTCAAGTTCTGCATTTTCACAACCATTATACATTTTTTTAAAAAATAATATGGCATTCTCCTATAAATCTACACTTCGAAGTACCTAGGGTGAGCACTATAATCTGCATTTTCCTTACACATTTCAGGATTGATATACCCTGGACATGTGGACTCTGAGCTCCTACTTTGCGACTAGCACTATGCTATCGGAAGGGGACGCAGATATAAAATGCAGAGACATTGTGCATTTCCTAAAAATAATCTCAAAGAGAGGGGAATAGAGATGCATAAAATAAAGATTGTAATGCAGAAAGAGAAAACACAGAATACCAGGAGGACCAATAAGAGAGGTGCCAGCCCAGCCTGTGGAATGAGGCATGGTGGAAGGAGGTGAAGGAGG